TTCCTTCCTGTCAACCGTACCTTTGTAGTAGCTGGTGGTCGGTTTAGAGAACCATACTACTGGGACTCATTCTGGATCATCGAAGGTCTACTCCGTACTCAGGGATCCTTTACTCAGATTGCGGAGAACATCATCGAAAACTTCCTGGATCTTGTCGAAGATATTGGTTTCGTACCCAATGGCGCTCGGCGCTACTACGAGAATCGATCACAGCCACCATTACTTACCCAGATGGTTCGGGTCTACGTTGAATACACCCAGAACTATACTCTTCTTGAACGAGCGCTACCGATTCTGGAGAAAGAGTATGACTTCTGGGTGAATAACCGTACTGTAACGCTCGAGCGCGCTGGTATGAACTACTCGCTGAACCACTATGCCGTGTCGAACACCCAGCCACGACCTGAGTCTTACTACGAGGATTACGTGACTGCGAACAATGCGACCTATTTCAACGAAGAGGGCGAAGAGTTCAACGTAACAAAGTCGCTCAATGAGACTGAGATGGCGACACTATACTCTAACCTAGCCTCGGGCGCAGAGAGTGGATGGGATTATTCGGCACGCTGGATAGCCAACCCATCTGACGCCGTCACGGATACGTTCTTCCCTCTTCGCTCGCTCAACACTATTGAGATTATTCCAGTGGAGCTTAACTCGATCCTTTACTACAACGAGATTACCATTGCTGAGTTCCATCGCCATCAAGGCAACTACACCGCTGCACGCGAGTGGGCCGGTCGGGCAGCAGACCGTAGCGAGGCGATGGCTACTTTCCTTTGGTCACCCGAGCACTACAGCTACTTCGACTACAATTTGACATCTAGCAGTCAGAATATTTATACCTTGGCCGATAATACGAGCACGCCCCTGTCACTTCAAGGTGCGCCGGCCGGAAAACAAATATGGTTCCAGATCTCCCAGTTCTATCCTTTCTGGACCGGCGCTGCTCCTGAAAGCATCAAGAATGACCCCAAGGCAATGAGGCGCGTATACGGACGCGTTGAAGAGCTTCTCGAGTCTCGAGACGGCGCAATTGCGGCGACGAACCTTCAGACTGGTCAGCAGTGGGATGAGCCGAACGTTTGGCCACCGCTCCAATACATCCTTATGCAAGGCTTGCTCAACACCCCTCTCGAGGTCAGCGAAGAAGATGATGAGCAATCAACAGAAGACTACATTTGGACGCAAGACCTATCACTCCGCCTCGCACAACGCTATCTTGACTCGTTGTACTGCACATGGCGTGTCACTGGTGGCGCGACTGACGAAGTACCGCAACTTCCTGACTCGCAAGGCAATGGAACGATCTTCGAGAAGTATGCCGACGAGAGCACCAACGCTGCCGGTGGAGGCGGAGAGTATGAGGTCGTTGAAGGTTTCGGGTGGTCGAACGGTGTTCTCATCTGGGCCGCGGATCAGTTTGGCCAAAGCTTGACAACACCCGAGTGTGGAAATATCACTGCTGCTAATATTGGTGGCGGTGATGCGAAGAGGAAGAGGAGTGCAGTGGAACTGAGCAAAAGAGATGCCAAGTGGATCAAGAAGACTAGAGGAACAAGGAAGTTGAGGTATTGATGTTGAGGTTTGCGTATACTTAGTGGCAGAGACTTTTACCCATCACCGCTATCCTTAATGCAATTCATAATACTTGCCTAATGTATCCCACGTTCAGATATCTGTCTCGTTCTTCTTGATCTTAGGTGTACAACTCAGCTGCAGAGTCCGCGGACATGGACAACCCCCACACTGATTCGTCCTGGGTAACAACACCTCAAAGCCACCTGCTATTGTAGAAACCGTCCCTCGTTTGGATATCATCAGCAACGGTGCCATGCTCGTTATCCAACTCACGTCTACGGCTAAACAGACCGACGGATGAGGTGCTTGCTTTTTGTTTGGTTAATTTGCCGGTTGATGTCCTTATCGTCGCCTCCAACGTGAAGATGCCACTTTCTTGGACGTTTGTGGCTGCGAGATATCTTACGATGTCTGACTGTTACTCATCTACCACCACCCGTCCTACCACCCGCCATATCGCGCCACAATATAGTACACTCTTGGCATTCTTGCCATTGCTTACCAGCATCCATATCCACGCGTTTTCCAATCCGGACTGGTCACCAAGCGATAAGTCGCCCGTACGTTGATTAAGAGTTCTTGCATTGACAGCATCGAGATTGATTATTGCTGCCTGTCAAGAAATAAATATGCTTTGCTACTGAATTAATCGCAGAGTCGTTGATGTGCGCGAAAACAGCAGCGTGTAAAGGAGTTCGCCGGTTCCTCCCGCACCGACTGAAGTACAAGACCGTTCCAGGTTAAAGACCCGAAGCTACAGGAAACGCGCAGCTTGGACCGGCAACCTCACTGACTGCCAAGCACGCCATCTCGATATGTACATCATGTCGCGAGGGGTTATCGGTAGCGATTGGAGAGATCCAAGAGCCAATGATGATCTGCACGGGACATGGGTGGCAAGTGGAGACCGCTGTGTTTGTGCGGACGCTAGTAAATGGCTTGCCATCCCTGAAGGGCTTCCAACATTCTTGTCCCTCGAGCCGAGGCCCAGATCCTTTCCAGATCTTCCAAACGAAAAGAATCACAGCTCCTCTAACGATGGGATCGTGATCTCGACCAGCCTTCCACATGCCCGAGCCGTCCAACCTAGGCTGACTTCCTTGGGCACCTACCGTGATCCGCTAGACGACTGTTCCTTGTGCTTGTCTTTGCACCTACACCACAGCTTTAGGGTGACCGCCCATGGAGCCTCTGATCCCTTCGCTTTCTACACTCTCAGTTCTGAGATCGCTCTTGGTATTCGCACGTCATTCGGATGACATGGCAGCGGAGCGTTCCTTCTTGTGAAAAGAGAAATAGTACCTGTGGCTGTAAGGCACTGACTCGTAGATGGACCCGCAACTATAGCCTAACACTCTGCAGCCACTGCCAAATGCGTGCCTTCGGGAAAGGTCATACGTGGGGGGATGCATGTGGAGATATGGGAACGCTGGAGCGCGAGCTCTCTGATCCAATAGCCATCAATGCTGCGTTGTTACTTCCGAGGATACCATAGCTTAGTGAAGGCTGATCGATGGCCGAATATCCGCGCCCTATTCCAGGAAGGAGATAAATATGTGGAAGATGTCCGCTCTTCTGAACAGCACGCTCGCATCTCAGTACCATAACCAATTGACTCCTTCCTCTTTCCCAAGTGTCTCAGTCTCGACAGAACCTCAACATGAAGTACTTCACGCTATCAATGATGACTGCCTTAGCGGCGGCTTCGCCCATTTCCTCGGCAGCTCAATTCTCAGAGAACGAGATACAGGCGCGTCAGTTCGGTTTCGGCACAACAACTCGGAATGAACTCGAGGATGGCCGAGCTGGGGCATGCCCAGAGGCGATCTTCATTTTTGCCAGGGCTTCCACTGAGAGTGGTAACATGGTATGTCACATACCGCATGTAACTGTGTGCGTGAGACTTACACGTTGACAGGGCGCTTCTACCGGCCCTGCAGTAGCCAGTGCTCTTGAGCGCAACTATGGTGCCAGCAATGTGTGGGTCCAAGGTGTTGGCGGTCCATACTCGGCTGATTTAGGCTCGAACGCACTGCCCGGCGGCACTTCCCAGGCTGCGATTAATGAAGCTGTGGGCCTGTTTGAACAAGCAAACCAGAAGTGTCCTGGCACACCCATCGTTGCTGGCGGCTACAGGTACGTACTTGTTCATTACGCCTTCCCAACTTGAGCACACATCTAACACCTCAACAGTCAGGGTACCGCCGTGATCGCAGGTGCCGTTCCCAAGCTCTCTACTACTATTCGCGATCAGGTCAAGGGTGTGGTGCTCTTCGGCTACACGCGAAATCTCCAGAACCGTGGTGGCATCTCTGACTACCCTAGCGAAGACCTGGAGGTATACTGTGCTACCGGTGATCTTGTATGCGTTGGTACGCTTACTATCACTGCCGCTCACTTCTCTTACTCGGATGAGGCTGCTGGACCTGCGCCAAGGTTCTTGATCGGCAAGATTGATGCGAACTGAGAAAATCGTAAGGCGAAACTGGAGGTGTTGAGTGGGCGCGTTCCTATCGGTCTTTAACGAAGTTTTCGGTTCATAGTTGATATATGAAGCATTTCCTGATATGCTCAAGTGCTGTAACGCATCCGTGAGACGATACCCTGGATAGATGCAAGTGGTAAGCTGAGCGAGGGAGGAAGCGGCGATTGCGAAGCGGAAGATCGCCAAGAACGAGACCCACATGATCTTGCGAAACTGGCTCATGATTGGTGGTTGCTCTTAGTGCTTATCGATAAGGATGCTCGCGCTCGCCCTGAACCTCCAGCATCAGTACACTACCCCAATGACATACCTTTCGGTCACGAGCATATGTATATCGCCCGTTGCGTTGAAACAATGGCGATCAGCAAAAGTCTGAAGCAACACTTTTCAGGCCCTCGCAGCTACAGTACAGTAGCGAGCCACTACCAATTGAACCCTTGGTACCTAGGCAGCATTCGCACGGCCACATGTAGTCAGAGCTAAGAACTCTCGATGGATAGTGAATATTTGTTTCGACGCTGCTAGTACTTCTCTCGAGGAGTATCTAAGTAATCGAAGCAAAGATGTTGCGGCGATGACGATGACCTAGGAAATGGTCGTACTTGCCAAAGACTATTCTTTACCGCTACTGTAAGATCACACTGCCTGGTCATTTGACAGAGGTAAATATTCACTCGATGTCTTACGATTCTAGGCTACCTAGGTACCCACTGCCATTAGTGTCGGACCTTGACTTTACACCACGTTACTAAATCCTGGCCTTAAATCCCCTCTGCTGGCCCAATCTTTTACCATTGCAGGCTTTCGCATTCAGCGGTCATCAGATCCTCAATTCTTTCTTCTATCGTATGAACTCCGATTTACATTAGACGGCCTAGATCCACGTAGTTCAATTCGCTGTTGCAAAGACGCAAGATCACGAACGCTCTCAGTCATGCTTCTCCTCGGGCTACCCTCTGAATTGTTCAACAGTATTTTGGAACATTATTCTGAAGCTGCTCTTTTAGACGAAGTTTTTCGTACACGTCTGGTCTGCAGTAAGTCTCCAAGGTGCCAGTATCGTCCATCACCACTAATAACACTAGGGTCTTTTGCCGCGGTCCTGAACCACCAGTTGCTCGCCAAGACTCCAATCAAGAAGTACCTAGCTTTTATGGAATCGGCCGGCTTGCAGCTTCATCAAGCGAAGTCTCCGTTTCAGGTCGTGGTCGATCATGCGGAGACCTACCTATTGAACCGCATTCGGAGTCAAGATGGCTACTTGGACATTTTCCCAGCATTCATCAACAAGCTTGTTGATGTTATTATGCGCTTCAATCTACCTGATGACAACGTCATTGAGCTCCGGGAACAGTACATCTTGGATCTCGTCCGAGCCGTCGTAGCCACTACCCCGCGTGACCGACTCAGACAAGGTCTTGCCATTTGGATCAAGAAATATCTGGTAGCGGCTTATCCCCGGATTGTCGACCCAGAAATTCCCCTTTCGGACGCTCTAGCTGGGGCAGCAGCAGTCGGCAACTTCAAAGCTGTCGCACACTTCTTGAACCACACCACGGACTTCCTCGAACAGCACTTCGGCTATCACGTTGATCATCTCCCTAGCGTACTTGAAGCCGCAGCTAGCACAGGCAAGAGTGTAATGATTGAGTATCTGCTTGCCAAAGTGAAGGTGGGTTTGGAGACGGACAACGAAAGCTGCAAGCATTACGCCCCTGTCCACGATTACTCTAAGACCACAACCGAGTGTAAGTGTGAAGACAAATTCTATGTCATCATAGAAGCCATCAAGGCAGCCATGAGAGGGTGTCATCTGCGAGCAGCAAACAAGTTGATCGACTTCTTACGAACACGCTTCGTTCGTCTCGCGCAACGAGATCGACCTGATTTCCTCCGTCTTGCTATGGAGAGCCATAACTTGAACTGTATCAAGTACTTCCTCAAGGAAGACCAGCGACCGAAGCACATGCTCAAAATGGACCCGGAAGTTATCGCCGCATATCACGAGATTCTCCACAGCGGCAACGTCGAAGTCATACGCTTTCTCCTGGAACAGGGTATCGTGAGTGTCGCAGGAGCTCCTATGGGCACCGATGTCTGGCTGCCTCGATTTGATCCTTTAGACATTGCAATCCAACGCAATCATCAAGAAGTGGTAAAGATCTTGCTCGAGTTCGGAGCTATTCCTGACGTATACCATGTACTCCAGGTACTCAATACTGGTATAACGTCTTTCCCGCACGCTTCCATGTTCCCGCTTCTTCGTTCGCTTATCGACAATCACCATCTCTCCGCAAGCCAGCTTCAGGGGAGTACCAGCAATACTAAGCCTTTGTGGATGCAAGAACTGAATATAAGCCGTTCGGGTTTTAAAGAGCAAGATGCCGGCTGTCTCGAGCTATTGCATGGTCGTTGGCGTTGGGTGGACTGTGACCACAAGACGGAGTGGATCGACGCTTCTATGATGGTTAAGTGCGATAATATTGCGCGACGACTATATGTAGCTGGACGGGTGTCTCATATCGACGCATACAAGTCTATCGTACTCGTTACTCGGGAGATTGTGCGGTCTCGACAATACAAAGGTGGTATTGGACTACCGCCGCTGCCCTCGTTGCTGGCTGTTCTTGGGAAGATAGCTACTGATCAGATTGCTCTGGGGGATAGCAACATCGAATGGAGAAAGGAGGCGTGGGAGGCTCTACGGTGGTTCGATGGATTATCGCAGTTAGCTTGCAGACCTGCGGTAGGTTATTCGACGTTGACATTGAGCAAGGTTCAAGAAGCACAGAGGCAGCAAATGATACAAATCATGTTGATGGCTACTCATATCCGGGGAAGGTAGTAGCATACGCCCGTGTTACTTGAACGGACAACTATATGTATATATATACGTGTGCTCACCTTGCATCCATTCCACCGTGGACGCAGATTTGTACTTGTCATTTAAATCTTCACACTTGCATACGTATGCACTTCGATGCCGCTCGTACGCCAATTTCTGTTTCCGGCGATGATATCACATGTGCATCGTGGATGCCCTGGGGTTTATTCAGACCCCACAAGGTTAAGTAGGCTTCCCTTCACATGCGAGTTTGGTAGTGCTGTACCTAATTTGATGTGGGGCCTGAATAGATCTTACATGCAGCAACAACTATCCTGTAGACCTTATCCCTTCTGTTTTGCCACTTGGCAGCCTGGTACGAGGTGTGGCACTCTTGATGTGTTGTTCGCTGGGTCATGCAGGTGGTGGCTGAGCCGATCGAGATTTGACGGCCGAACATAAGCTTTGGGTTGGCCTTGACAAAACGATCTCAGGCTGTGCGGACACTATGACGACAGCTGACTGCAGACAGTCTCATATAGCTGTATCATCCGACCAGGGGGCCACGAACACGGCAACCTACAACGAGTTCTTTGGAGCCTCCGGGCTGACGATGGCTCGCAAGGAGGCCTTTGGGTATCAGTGAGCAGCGAAGCCATCGGCGTACCGATGTTATGCCTGCAGCATGATTATTGAATCTGAAAGACACGCCAAGGAACAAGTTGTTGTTGTTGCTGTGAGGTGCAGCCACGCAGCGTCAGGCTGAAAGCCACTTCCACGCTAGATCTTGCGCTAGGCAAGTCCGGCCGCGATAGTCACTAGCGGTAATGGCCCAGTGACCCGGTTGGTGGTGTACCACCTCAATGTCTTATCGATCTGCATTTGAACCAATCCCTTCAACGGTAACCTTAGAAGTCCTGGATGCTCAGGTGTGTGCAAATCTGAGGACTAGCTGAACACTGGAAGTCGCGCTGAGTTGATGATCGACACGAAAGTATGACAAAGAAAACGTTTCTCTAATTGCCAGTCTGCCATATGCGGTGTTTAGTGTGGCTTTAAAAGGGATAGCAGAAGTAGTGCCACAACGCCAGAGAGGCGTGTCATTGCAACAACGAACTCGTTTTATAGAACAAAGAAATTAGATTTGTGGAATAGGATCGGAACCAGGTAGGAGCGATCAGCGAATTTGTTCCCCATCCACCACAATACAGCTCAACAGGAAATGCGTTGAAATCCGCCGTTGCTCCACCTCTGTTTGGAGAAGTCCGGAAATTTCGGCAGATCTAGCACCAGAAATTCTGATTCGGGGAACTTGGCATACACGTTTTCCTTCTCCATGATTTGTGCGTCTTGCCATGTCGCGAAAACAGCATCCCAGTACCGTCTCGGCTCTTCTTTCGCATGTCCGACATGCCCACTTTTCTCGAACAGCACTTCAGTGACAGGCATACCAGCGCATGCTGACTCTTCCAGATGCTCGTAGACATCTTGCCAAGCGATAAGCGTATCGCTTTTTGAGTAAAGATAGCAACGTGGTGCTGTGGGGTCGAAATAGATAGGATCATTGATACGCTTTCGAGTCCGACTGATGACGTTGTTCTCGTATCCTTTGATACCGGTGTACAAAATCCATATGCAGCCCAGCACTACACTGACGAATAGTATAGCAATGTGACGCACAACTGGTATCTGAGGTAGTGATTTGTTGAGGGCCTCGCATAAGCGTAGATAGCGTGGGTGGCCTGGTGTGCTGTCTAAACACAAGGCTGAGACCGGAAGCCGTCTCTCGGTGAACCTGTAGTGCGCCTCTGCTAGCTCGCAGGCTTTGTTGCTTCCTCCTTCAGAGAAAACGTGTAGCAGTATCCCACTATTGAACTCTTGAGCAGCCAGGTACCGGTAGCTGGATATGCGTTCGATGGCGGGTCTCATGCGCCACTGTTTGCGTGCGGAGTTTCTGAAGCAGAGATCTTTCGCGGAAGTCGTGATAACCATGATACGTGATGAAGGGAAAAGATTTCTGTATTCTGCTGTGTACTTGGCGATATAACGGTTCTGGGCTCCTGTCCATGTGCATAGCAGAATAAGTGACGGTGCCACACTATTTTGCGACGAGAAAGGTGTAGCACGGAATGGTAGCCGCGGATCATAAACCCATATGGAGGGAGCGATGAGCTCAAAGTCGGGGATTGTGTCGTTGGTAGTCTTATGGTTTGGCATGATACTCGTCGAATAGGTGGTTCCCGATGCGGAGATAAAGAAGTCCGAAGAGGCTGGTGACGATAGTGTGGCGGTTCTGAATACAATGCCACCTTCTTTGGTTGTTGATATGTCCAATGTAAAGAGATTGAAAGACTCTGTGTATTGTCACTGTGGCAAGAATTCTGAACAAAGCAACGAGATGAGAACTTGCAGGATCCAGCATGAACACATCGGGATACCGGAAGCCAACCGATACGCCATCAGAGACTTGTTGATGTCAATTGCGTACGCGTAGGGCGTTGGAAGTCGGACGGAAATTTCCATAGGATTGATCGGCCTTGCAGTGGACTTTCTTTAGCTCGCTTCATGTTTCCTATTCGGTTGCTAGTCAGCGAGAGGGTACGGCGACCGACCATGATCTGAAAGGAGAAAGGCTGTGCACGTTCTATCCTGCAAAACATACTGAAGCGCACACGGGTCTTGTGCCGGTACCGTTATTCAGTTGGGACGGTTCTCAATAGCAAAAAGCCCCTAGGCGAGGATCTCGGAAACGCTTGGTGTCCGTGAGGCTTATGCGCCCCTTCGAGTACGGCCCCCCCACATTCTTTTGGCAGGCCAGCCACATGTTGGACTGTGCAGCACAGCGGGAGTGCAGTGGTAGATGCGCTTCCCCGCTGCGCAAAGTCAAGGCCAACACTAGTTGCCGTGCTGACAATGAGCGATATGATTCGTCGAGCTGGTATAAGGCTTGGCTGAGGCTACTATCTGACAGCATAGAGTGGGTGCCAGATAGCCCCAGACACATCAGCTGCGCCTTGGGTCCTTCAAGTTGCCTTAGTGTGCGATTCTACGAAGTCGGGCCTCGACTGGCTCAGAGCACGTGTCAACGTAGAAGCCGGATCGCGCTGGCCGTTTGCAGCGATCATCAAAACAACCACCCGTGTCAAGATACGCCACGGTTGTTACCCTAAGGGGACCAAGTTGTTTTTTTCCCGTAGGTTTGGGAGAGCTCGTTCAGACATGCGGTCGGCCTGGGCGCGAAGGCAAAACAACGACATCGTGAATTAGTGCCACAATGTTCAATGCCTACTACGCAACTACAATCCGGGAGCTGCATATGTGTTTAGGTGAGCCTCGACCATAGAAGCGGGCGCTCGCTGTAAACCAATCTCCCAACCAGAGTTCGACTTCTGAAGCTAGATCGACACCGGTCTTTACTGCCCAATCGACTCCGAGGCCACCCTATCACTTACTCTGTCCCCAAGAGAAGTGGTCTTTTGCCCAATCCTCGTTCCTCCTATTTCGCCCCCAATGACGGCCGGCAGTCATCCGAACGAGACGACCTTTGACAAGTGGGACTCTTCCTGCAGTACGCCCACCGATGAATACAGCGAGCCTGGTGGTGCGTGGAAACACGACCACATCAGGCTTAACACAGGTAAGCATATCGCACAGCAGGGCTGTACATCCGACCTCTTATATCACCGTACAGTAGTGTGCATGGCGCTTCGTAGTGCTATGGTGTCGATGGCTGAGTCCACAGCCCATAAAGTTCGCTAGTGTCCAATGCTGGGGGACTTTGGCACACCTCAGCAAAAGCTCAAGCTTCCGAGGACTTTCCACTGACTGTTTTAGAACTAAAAGATTGGCAAGAATTCTCGAGAGACATTACAGCCTCGTCTGCCAAAGATCCAGTATCTCCTCACTCGCTGTGGATGACCGACAATATGTCCTTGGATAACTTTGGAGGGAGAGGCGAGACTCAGATGCCCGATGTATGGAAGCCACAAAAGAAGGAGCTGGTAATCATGATCAGTCTAAGCTTCATATCATTGATGGTGGCGCTGGATGCCACGATCCTAGTCACGGTACTACCGGTCAGTCATCCTCTTACTCCGTGCCGTAAGGAAGTTCTGACATACTCCACAGGTAATAGCACAAAAGCTTGATGGCACTTCGGCTGAAGCGTTCTGGACGGGGACATCGTACCTCCTCACCTCTGCCATCTTCCAGCCGGTCATCGCATCGATATCCGCTGTCTTCGGCCGGCAACAGCTCCTCATCACCTCGCTCCTCTTCTTCACAGTCGGTAAGTCTGAATGCCATTTTGTGTCGTGGATGGTCGCTAATCATGCCTCTTCAATCCAGGTACGATACTATGCTCGGTCGCAGACAATTTCACTGAGCTGCTCGGAGGAAGATGCATCCAAGGAATTGGTGGTGGTGGGATTATAACGTTAACACAAGTCATCTTTTGCGACATCGTGCCGCTGAGACAACGCCCGAAATACTTCGCGATGGTTCTCGGATGCTGGAGCATAGGGTCCATCATCGGACCCGTAGTTGGTGGTAAGCTTGTGGAAAGCGCATCCTGGCGATGGGCATTCCACATCAACTATCCATTCTGCGCTATCGGCTTCGCTGTTGCGATCTTGTTCGTGCGCCTTGACGCGGTGGCGAAACTCACATTCCAGGAGAAGCTCAAGCGGGTGGATTGGCTGGGCGCAGTACTCTTCATTGGCAGCATGACGAGCTTGTTGATTGGAATCTCTTGGGGCGGCATCCAGCATCCCTGGGACTCAGTTGCGACTCTTGCACCTATTATCGCGGGGATGACAGGAATCGTTGCGTTCTTCCTGTGGCAATGGTACAGAAAAGAGCACACCCTATTGCCTTTGGCAGTGTTCGGAAGCTGGAGCGCGATCGCCGCCTTTTACAACGCGCTGATCAATGGCCTACTAGTAAGTTCCTTTCCAGTGATGACCCAGATACAAGCTCACATATCAAGCTCTTCACGACCTTGTACTACTGGCCATTCTACGATATGAGTGTTCGCGGGAGATATCCTACCCAAGCGGGTATCGACATGCTACCGGTAGTCCTCCTCACGGTTCCCAGTTCCGTCATTGTTTCGATATTGACGACGCGTCTTGGACGATTCCGATGGGCAATTTGGGGTGGCTGGATGGTTACGACACTTGCGTGCGGGTTGCAGGTCATGCTCGACGTAGATTCAACAACTGTTGTCACGTCAGCGCTTCTTGCAGTCTTAGGAATTGGCATGGGTATGGTACTGACAAGTCTCAATGTCGGCATTCAGGCTATTTCCAAGCCAGAAGACGCAGCAATGGCCGCGAGCATGTATGGCTTTCTCCGAAGTCTGGGTATGCCGATCGGTGTCGCCGTAAGTTGAGCCTTCATCCGATCTCCTTCCCCAATGCTGACTCCTTCAAGCTCGCAGGCTCGGTCTTTTCAAACTCCATGTCCGATAAGCTTTCAGAGCTAGGCCTGCCCACGTCGATCGCTCATGACTCTGAGCAGTACATCTTTGTCTTGCGCAAAATGGCGGACTCTCCGCAGAAAAGTGCCATTCTGTCTTCGTACATGAGAGGGTTCGATTCGGTCTTCGTCATGGTCACAGGTCTCTCAGCTACTGCGCTCATCGTCAGCTTTATGATCAGAAAATTCAGCATGGACAAGATATTGGTTGCGCAGTTCTCCGCGAAGTGAGTCGCGTTTGCATAGGCGGACACGCGATTCTCCCGGGATTAGACGACCTCGGGAGCTTCATCTTTTCATGTACATACCAGATGAAACCATCAGAAGACTGGTTCACAAGGGTTGACGCGTACGCTCCCAGACTGGAGCTCGTGCGTTGTGGTTGAGTCGACGATGCAGCGCGGTGTCCAGCGCGTCATCTGAGGGGCTAGGCCCACGTAATCGCGCTGCCTCCCGAGGTCAGGAACGCGCCATTGCGGCGTCACAGTTCCTCGGCATGCATCACTACCACTACAACCAACACCGTTGCTTTAAACACGTCTGCGAAATACATGTGCAAGAGAAAAGTGCACCCTCTGTCCGGATAATGATAAACAGACACGCGTCGCGACGTGTACTGTCCCTCTCTTTATCCTGCCAACGGATTGAAGCTGACGAACTTCGCAAGCGAGAGGAAATGCAGCATGGTACGTCCATAGGGTCAAACACGAAGATGACATGCCAATGTATTAAGCTTTGCAGCCAAGAGATCCGGATCACCACTTCAGAAAGCTCATTGACATTCTTCTATTCACTATGATACGGAAACGACTGTGAAGTTACCGAGTCCATCGGACGAATCGCACTGAAACTCTTGGACCCTGGAAAATACTCTATGGGGCCTAGCAATAGTCGCCAATGTTGTAACTGGGGAAGACGTGGCTGGTTCGGCAGGCCGGGCTGGCACCTTTGACGTACAGTTTGGTCGCTGATATTTCATGTCAGCCTCTTCCCAGAGCCTCGCTATGGTTCGCGACTTACTGTCCACTGGGAGACCCTGCCTCGGCTGTCTCACGATAGTCTGGCTCCTCTCTGCTGGTGTAAGATCGTTCTCACACTGGATTTGTTCCTGGCCACCATTCACAGTGGTACTGCCAGTCCAGAGATCGATGTGGTTGATGCGCGGGCTAGCTTTCCAGTCGGTGTCGCACTGAGCGCAGAAGTCCTCGAAGCGCAAGTACTTTTTCGTGTACGGATCGTATATGATCTCACACTGGTTGAACTCGCCAGGGGCAGAGGCAAAGGTCAGGGGGTCGGCATAGGTGCCCGTACCGCCAGCCTTGAAACCACGGCCGCAGTCGTAGGCAGTCGCCGGACCTGGAGGGTCATTATCGGGGTACCTGAGCACTGTTAGTTGGGAATACGTAGCCAGGGTTTTCACCTATTAACATGCCCATAGTAAGTGTGGGTGACCTTGGTCACTGTGGTGCAGCCGAAAGCCACGAGACTAAAGGACGATAGTGCAACGAGTACTGAAGCGCGCATGATGATGGCTAGTCTGGATATGATTCTCTCTGTGAGCCTTGGATTGATGTGAGGACTCTCTCGAGCTGATCGGACAGACTTTATACTCCTCCCCACACCACATGTCGGTGGAGACCTGACGAAGAGGCTGTATAGCCATTACTCTCCTCGACATTAGTTCTGACAACCAAAATCCATTTTTGGACGAGGCTCTGAATAAAATGAGGGCGCATTTCCTACAATTAGAAAATGACGATCCGATGCCAGACACGAATGGCGGGTCGGGGGTCCAAGATCGCTCTTCCGCTCGTATTCCACGGCCTTGCACGTAAGTTGCCTGCTTCGTCACGATGTGTTTGCTCACATCATGCATAAGGCTGACGAAGCTGAACAGATGACATGACATTAATTACTGCGAACCGTCTCCGCGGGGGAAAGGCTACGTCGACTAAAGCCGGGAGCGTGCCGTGTCGGGGCCAACCGCTGCGGGAGCCAATGAACAAGCCTCTCATGGGGTTGGTGGCGCATTAGTTCGGTATCACGGCATCCTGATTGAGCGCCGAATGCAGGATGCTCTCTACAGAACTGCCTTGTACGGCTCGAGTTCAGCTCTCGGGTTAGCTGTTCGCCTACGTATGTGTGCTTCCCCGGACTACGATAGGCTGTCAGCAACAGGGGTGATCAGGCTGGCTTATTTCTTTGCAGCGATCATTTCTTATCGCATACTGGACCTGTGAAGATGGAGCAACTTTCTGGATTCAGACAAGTGAGCCGCATTTACGAGCAATATGCTTCCGCCCACCTCTCGATTCTCCTGCTGCAACGCTTCCGGACTCAAGCAAGCCATCAGCGGCACTCGTATCAAGCAAGCCCTTTTCACTTCGCACCATCATGGCGTATTCGAGCTTCAAGTCTTTGATGACCTTCAGCCTTGTGCCTATCGCTTTTCTTCTTCAAGTTGGCTCTAGCTCGAGAATTGCGACGTTCACAGATAGCGAGTGCAAAAACGCCTTCCAGAGCCTCGACGCGGAGAATGGCTATGTAAGTTTTACTATACGAGCTGCATGAGACATACTGAACGTTTGCAACAAGCCCAATGGTACTTGCACGAGGCTTGCGGACCAAGGCAAATACGGAAGCTTCCAAGTCGTCGGACTAGACCCAGGCTGCAGTGGTAAGAGCGAAGTCCTGAACTTTGCGAGGAGTTTCAGTCATTGACCATACTAGCTACGATTTACGGGGCCGACAGCGAAGAATTCGTACCGTGCTCGTCGACAGTCCTCCAGTTCACGAGCATAGGGGATTGCCACAATTCGTCCTTCGTCTATTACAGCATCGACTCGTGTACACCACCTAGCGAAATATCGTCGTCGTCGAGCTCTGCAACGCCATCTGCGACACCATCGACGTCTCCGTCTTCGACGCCGTCGCCTAGTGTAGCAAGCAAGCCTCGCAAGAGCAACACTGGTGCTATAGCTGGTGGTGTAGTCGGCGGCGTATGCGGACTCGCTCTCATCGCTGCCGCCGTCTTTCTACTTCTACGACGGAACAAAAAGCGTGATCAACCACCGGAAGAAGCTCCCGCGGACGAGCGACGAGAGGTTGATGGAAGGAGCGCAATGGCCGAAATGCCACACCAAGGCCCAAAACATGAGATGGACTCGAAGAACATAGCACCACAGGAGCTCGGTGACAAGAAGAGTGTGGATCTCCCACCGGTCGAGCTTCCAGGCGACGATGCTACTCGACATTCCCAGCATATAATCGACTCTCAGCTTACTGCCAGTGAGAAGCGCTGAGATATCGGGAGATAACTTTGCAAGAGCCGGTAGTATGAGTCGGGAGAGGAAGCGCAGGTAGGAAGAATTTGGTAGCCGTTTGTCTACTCTCATCACGCTGGGGCTGGCCCTATGTACTGTCCAGATACGATTTCGGAACCTCGCCTTTTAGTTTACACTCCTCTATTGCCTGCTACTCCCAAGTGTAAGATACAATGCGTGTCAGTATGTCGTCCAAGAATTTACGATGTCATTTGAGTTGCCCTCGGTCCTTATTTTAGGCTGCTGTATAGTAGCAACGTTACTGCACTCGGCTCACAGGTTATGTTGCGAAACTTGAAGATAACGTATCTTGATGAAGACTGTCCATTGCAGTCACGATGATACCAACTCCTCAAACTCCATACAGAAACATTGGACAGTTATCCAAAGCTACTCATACCATCTATGTAGGTCGTTTGAAAGGATGTGCCTCGGTATTCAATACCCAATCATCCAAGCTAATCACATCTTCCTCTGCAAACAGCAGGTAGAAGTACTTCAGTGTCTCCGCTAACCAGAAACTCTCCATCTCGTCGCTGAGTTCGGGCACTAGCTTGGTAACGTCGTCAATGGCCGAGTTACCGTACTCAGTGGTCGTGTGTTGCTCAATGGCAAGGAACATGCGCCAACCTGCGTCGCGCCAGTGACGATCGCCGGTTATGCGGTACATGTACCAGACGGACTCTATCGCTTCGGGGCTAGAAAGATGTTAGATATCAAGCTCAGATACATTTTGGGAGTCAGAGACTTACCGGAGAATGTAACTCTTTGACCCGATCGTTGTAACGCCGGGCGGTAAACGACCCTCTTGAATCCTGTTTTGGACGAAGTCTTTGTGGTCCAGGACTGGCTGCGGCGAGTAGACGTATGGGAAGTTTGGCAAAGTCAGATCAGGCTGCGGCGCAAGTTCCGCAATGTTCAGTGCAGGTTGAACTTTGGTTGGCGGACCCTCGCCTTCCTCAGACTCCCCACCCATAACCGATTCGTGATCTTGTAGGGCGCTCGCAGAAGCAGACGGCATGTGTGCAATTTCCACATCATCCACTAGCCCGGCGAGTTGACGCTTATCTAGCGTATCAGCGAATACCATGGTAGACGTGGCCTTGGCTTCAACTGCAGCAGCTAAGGTAGGTGTAGGTAGTGCGGTCATAGCAGCCAGTTGTGCTTCGTACCACGATGAAGCAGAGTGGATCTGCGACTCGTATACTTTGCGCTGTTCTTTGTAACTCTCCATTCGAGACTCATACCGTGGGTCGATGTACTCCCAATAAGCAGTCTCATTCCATGCACAGTCCTTCCTGTCCTCACAAGGGGCGACCTCGAACGACTCCGGCATGATGCCGGTTGGTGTCATGCTATAACTCCAGACGCAGCCCTCTGTCAACTTCTTCGCGATCTCGAGATCATCGGGGCGATCAAATAGCTTTGCGCCCATGCCAAACATACCGCCAGCAAAACAGGTGAGATGCGCGTTTTCAGCGGTAAGGTCACCCATTTTAGCATCGTCAATATGAGACGGGACATTCAATTTGCCGGAGAAGAGAACGTCTTCCCCTTTCGGAAGCATCGGTCGGAAAAGCAAGTGCTTCTTGACAACGTCCATCGACTGTTCGTACATGGACCGGTACTTCTCGATCTGACCACCGAGGAGCAAGTACTGTTTTGGTAGATATTCGTATGTAGAGTCTGACATGCCGCCAAGCGTGAACTCTTCGCGGCCATAGCTGGAGCTCGATGTGAATCCTTGGGGTATGCACTCTGGGGGTGTCGGCCTGGTGCTGGAGGCAGATGAGGTCGAAGTGGGCCCCTGGGCATTGAGCGCCCCCTCTGGTGGCTCAGATCCATCGACATCAAGCTGTCGCCTTTCCACCGGACTACTGTCCCAGTTCTTGATTTGCGCCTTCCCGGCCGTTCCAGGGACTATAGACTCTTCCTTTGCGCCCGAGTCGACTGGGGAATCGTCTGACGCAAGCATGACTGGCTCTGGCAAATCCAAAGGCACGTACTTCTTGCCGTCCGGAGATAGTTCCTCCGTGGGAGAAGGCGTAGCCGGATCGGCCTGGGTCGATAGCTGATCATGTAGGTAATCTGCTGGAGCTTTGAGAGGCTCTTGAGGGGGCAAATCGATGTATTGTCTCCCACACCCGGAAGCGTCCAGGTATGTAGGCCACATCCCGGGGAGTTGAGTTTTGCCTTGGAATTCTTCGAGATGATCCGTGATGCGCGCAATAGCATCGTAGTATTTGTGCTCACCCGTAAGCTGCGCAAGTCGGGTGAATTCCATAGAGAGGGAGCCTATCTCGGCAAGAACAACGTGTGAACTGGCACGGTGCTGTTGAGATGCAAAATCGGGTCTCCAATAATAGTATGTCTCTGGCATGCGGTTCGGTGTGTCAAAGGCGCTGATGAGAATTTCGGCAAGCTCCACTGCCTTGCTTAGCAGGTTCTTGTACTTCTTTTCGCTCAAGTCGTAGGCAGCCAGCAGCCCACCGAGATAGCGAATTGTCGTCTCGAACAAGGGAATATCTGCGCGTGGGGTGGTAGTGAAATCGATCTTGTCCACCGCTTTGACTGCCTCTTCGAACTCGTCTTTCAGTCCCATGATCCACAAAGTATCCAAGGCGTCGACCAGCGTTGCGCCCCAGTGTGCGAAAGGATCTCTGAAAGTGCCCGACTGTGGCCGTAGCTCATCGTGGAGCCAGGCGTTCGCCTTGTATCCTTCCCATGACTTCTTTGCCACACTTCTGATCTTATCCAGCTTTGCAATCCTGTCAACCTTGGTTATGTCATCTTCCTCCTTGAATTTGGCTTGTATCTTTGGTATGGTTTTGGGCGTGCCCGATGGCAGCTTGATGAGCGATTCGGGGGCTACGGGGAAATGCTCCGGAAGCTTCGTCCAGTGGATCGCATCGATGATCGATGATGGTTCTAATGCAGGGTTCGCGATAGCGGGCTGGCCGTGAGGCTGCGGTCGGATGGGTGTAGGGATAGAGGGCTTCTGCTGCTGCTCTGTGACAGCAGGGCTCAATGTCGACGATGCAGCCGGAGTCTTCACGGGAGGTGGCGTCTGAAGCGAATGCGACGTGCTGGCAGCGGGCACATCCAGCTTCAGACTCCTCGTCTCGTGCGCCACAGCAGGGCGCGGCTTCGTGTCCGCCTGCGGAGCCTCCTCAGCGTCGCCCTTCAGGCCGGCTGCCCCAACCGCATTCGATGCGGCTTCTCTCCATGCTGCGGTCGAGCCCCCAAATTTGTATAGCGCTAGTACAGCAATGACAGCGAAGACTAAAAAGGCGCGGTAACGTCGATATCGAAACATGGCCCGAGGGAGTGTGTGGAATCGAAATGCGGGTATCGGTTGCGCTGCGTCGCCGGATAGGGAATGAGTGTGGAAGGAGCGTATGGTATGACTACGTTGTCACTGCCATCGGAGCGCGAACGAGGGGGAAGGAAGCAAGAGTTCGAGCTACCAGCCAGCGAGTGAACGACAGTGGCTGTTTTGGCCGTCTTGTTTCCAACAGGCTTGGCATGCACGCCCTGGAGATCTATTGATGGGTCTGTTGTAGATCTTTCGCATGCCAAGTGCATCGCTGATTCAGAATATGTAGACATGCAAGTACAGTACAAGGAGTCTTGGGACATGTCTTCTCACAAGACACGTATCCATTGCTGTCGCTGCCCATTCGGCACTCTCCCAGCTTCACGATGCCCTGCGCTACCGAGGCCATGCCCCCGCACCAGAGCAGCATCCGTCCTAGCCGAACGCTAAATTTAAGCTTAAATCACCCTGGTCGGCATGGCCGGATAGGGGTCCAGTATTGCCCAGGTGGGAATCTTTACACGTGTTTCAGCGTGCAGAACCCATCCCTCCCTCGTGAACGAAGTCTCTTTACGCGAAGACTTGACAAGTAGCAAGTCTTGACTCTGAAGAAGAAAGCAGAAAATAAAACACAGTCACTCTCCACAGAGCTAGTTTGGCCATGTGACGTGGTCGTATTATTTTAATCTATTTAGACAGTCGGCATGCAACACCCGCGCGGATCAAGTTGTGACCCACGATGTAGCCTTTCCTCCAGCTGTCCGCTTTTTCTGAGCTTCTATGTGGCTAGAACGGTGCGCCGGCAAGAATGCTGCGGTGGCGTATCTGATCGTCCAGAGATAATGCAACGTGATTATTGATCCTCGCCGCCAGGTCCAGGTTGTCGTCCCTGTTCATCAATTAGCTTCAGCCATCGCATAGCACGTGCTTCTACTCACCATTTGTCGTGCCTTCAGCATCTCGTCGCATAGCAGCAAGTTTGATGCGATACCGGTGGCAGACGCTATGGCGTTACGCAGAACTCGGAACGAATCGTAGACACCTTCTTGGGTAGGGTCCATGGCTTCTCCGGTTGCGAGGTTCAGACCAACAACATTGCCTTCAGCATGCTCGTCTTGTAGTGCAGCCACTGTCACCTAGTAAGTACAGTTCGACGAAGGGAGGCAACACGTTACTTACGTGAGTCTTGAATATCGTGACCTGAGTTGGCTGCCAGGGTCTTGGGAATGACAAGCAGAGCGTCCGCAAAAGCTGAGACACCCCACTTTGCTTTACCCTTGACCGTCTTCTTGAATTGCTCGCTCTCAAGATGAGCCGCGCATGCAACTTGGAAAGCACCTCCGCCTGGTACGACGCTTCCGTCGACGATCATGTTGTACACACTCCTCAAACCGTCGCGAACGGCGTCCTTGATCTGAGCGATAGTGTGCGTATTTGGGCCCTTGATGAGTAAAGTGACGGACTTTGGCTCCTTGACATCTTCCTGTTTGCTGTAAGTAGATGCCTCGTCTGAAACTACCAGGTCCACTTACGATGAATGTGTACTTCTCCTCACCCAGCTGGTGTTCGTAAACCAGACCTGCCCATCCGAGGACGTCGGGTGTCATGTCGTCTACGCTGTTTTGTGACGTACCGCCGCAAACCAACTGGAGACGCTCCATGT